ATTTTTTTTAATTATTCAGTAAAGAGTAATTTAATTATGTAGAAAATATTCAGTGAATACATTACTTAAAAATAAGAAAGAATAATGTATCACATGTTTAATGAATTAAAAAATGATAATTAGTAGATATTTCCACAATTGGATTTTATGATTATTGAGAAGTGATTGTTTAAATGGTTTTAATGTCTTTTATTTTTATATTAGAATATATCAAAAAATCTGTGAATTAGATGTTTCTTCTTTTAATGTATTATTAATACTGAAATTGTAGAGCATTAATATTTCATGTTTTAATGTTATTTGTTCATAGTATTTTAGTGAAAATAATTTGTAAATGACTGTTTTTAATCTTCTTAATATTTCTTTATGTATTAATTGATTGTTAATATTACAGTGTTTATTTTTAAATATATTATTTCTCTATCTTGTATTAATTTCTCTTGTAATTCTTTGTAATTATTTATTTTGTAAATATAATTTAATTCGATGTTTCTATCTTGACATATATCAACATGGCAACGAAAAAAAAAGAAAAATAAGAGAAAAATGAAGAGAAAGAATGATATAAAAGAAAAAAGTGAAATTATGAAGTAGAAGAAGATGAAAAGAATAAAAGAAGAAAGTTGAGAATGTAAAAAGAAAGAAGATAAAAAAGAATAATTCAAAAAGAGATAATAAAAGATGAAAAGAGTGATGAAATAAATGATGCATTTTTTATTATAGAAATTAGAAATATGAAATAAAAGAGTGTTTAATTTATTGATACAAATTATTTAACATTATTTTATTGATATAATTTATTTTATTCTTTTTATTTTTATGACTTTTATTTTTATTTATACATTAATTTTTTTCTTTTTAATATATTGATTATTTTAATTTATTATTTATTATTCTTTTATTTATTTTTCTCTATTCTTTTATTTGTTCTTTCTTATTATATTTATGAAATATTTCAATATTATAAAATAGTTTTATTGTTTAATTATTTAAATGATTTATATTAAAATGAATTTATTTTATATTTTATTGTTTTCTTTTATCTTTATTTTATATTTTAATAATTTCTTTAATATTATCATTTTATATTATTATATTTATTCTTTCATATATTTATTATTTATCATTATTATTGTATTTTTCATTTCTTATTTTATTTTAATTTATTATTAATATTATTTATATTTCTTTTCTTTCTTATTATTCTTCTTTATTCTTATTATTTCTTTATTTCTTATTTTTCTATTTTATTTATTTTCATTTTATTCATATTTTCATTTCTTGTTTTGATTATTTTGATTTGATTTAATTTTAATTTTTATTAATATATTTTTGATTATTAATATTTATTTATCATTTATTTATTATTTGTTTTTATTATTATCATTTGATTATATTTATTATTTATTTCTTTATTAT